TCCAGATAGCGCGTGAAGTACGAAATTTGGAAATCATTCATCATTCGTTTTGTCTACAGAAAGTTTTCTCCAAAACCTTCGGAAGTAAGACTTCCAGAAAACCGTGATTTTTAGCGTATAGGAATTGGATGAAATGACTTTAAAAGATCAACGTTAAGAGATGGAACATTTCGAAGATGATATTTGAATTCAGTGTTGAAAGACCAATATTTTGAAAAAAAAGCATGTTTCGAAGTCAAACTTTCAATTTTTGACTTTAATTTAAAATTGAAAAAATTCAACTTCTTTAAAGTTGGAATAACTCAGCTCAGAAAAGCGATGGAAACTTGGTTCAAACGCCATTTGATAGAGGATTAAAAATTAAACAAAGGTAGGGTTTGTTCATGCTTCTGTATTATGGGATTTTGGACTTTTCTAAATCAGTGGCGAAAAAGTCGGAATTTTGTTCGTATTTCTCAATTTTCTCGAAAAAACTCAACTCCTATGTAATAAAAATATCATATTCGGAATCAGAATCAAAAGTCGAATCGACGGATATGTATTTCGGAATTTTTACTTGATTTTCAGGTTTTGGGTGAAAACCTCAATGATTTTTCAAGGTGAAAATTTGAAAAAATTTAAAATACTCAGACAGTCCAGAGATATATATAAGTCGATTCGACTTTTGATTCTGATTCCGAATATGATATTTTTATCACATAGAAGTCAAAAATTGAAAGTTTGACTTGGAAACATGCTTTTTTTTCAAAATATTCGTCTTTCAACACTGAATTTAAATATTATCTTCAAAATGTTTCATCTCTTAAGATTTTGGAACGTAACGTGGCTCTCTTAAAAAGTATCGTTCAGAACAGCGTAGGACTTGGTTACTCCATATTCTGTAAAATTTTTCTTCCAAGGCCCCGCCAAGTCCAAGCTTTTCCGAGCCCAAGCCTACCAAGCCCGAGCTTAACTCGAGCCCAAGCCTTACCCAAGCCCAAGCTTTCGTCCACCAAGCCCCAAGCCGAAGCTTGGGCTTGTAACATCCCTACAACCTAGATCGATTGCTGAAAAGCAAAGGTTGAGATTAGCAAATTGATTTATATCTTAGATATATAGGTCAGTTTGTTTTCATTCAATTTTGAACAAGATGAAGTTCAAACAATCTATAATGGAATGCAAGAATTAATTGATTCATTTCATAAAGATACAAATAAAATTGATATTATTATAGAAAATTGTCGACCAAAGTTACCATTATTAAATCAACAAATTATTCTTAGTGAAGATAGTGATGGTCAACAAAGTCAACAAGAAAATGATGATATCTTCAATCAAAACGTTAAATATAACGAAGCATTTGAAAAATATTATAAATTAATTGAAAAACGAACTAGTTTACAAGTAGAACAAGTTTGTTATTTTTTAGAGGAGGAGTTGATCGAAGACAGAATCGACAAAGAAATCGTCCCGAATCAACCTCCTACTACAAGCATGGACTTCTAAGTCCAAATATAATCAGTGAAGCACCACATTTAAATTTAACCGAGGATGAGCATTATATATTAAAATTAGGTCCTCGATTTATTTTTAACGATCCAAAAACAGCATCTCGACGACGTACAACTGAATTGGCTACTCTACGAAGAAAACTTGAGAGTCGCTTCTTTAAAAAGAAAGTTAATCCTGGTCGTCCCGTTGAGGAATTCATTAATGAATTAGATGCTTTGCTTCAAAATTATCATGATATTCCTGCTCATTCTCGTCATCGTTCTTTAAATTTATCTATTACTTTAAATCAAAGTGAACAAATGATCAGATCTTCATCAAGTAGAAGAAGAATCAATGTTAATCGAGCAATTAAAAGATTGAAACATAAATTTCGATTAGCTAACGTTATTCTTAGGAAGACTGATAAATCCAAGGTGTTTCATTTAGGAAAATTAGAACATTATCAGCAAAGATCAGATGAATATATGGAAAAAACTCAAGCCTATCAATGTATTGGCACTAACGATCCATTACCTGATCTTATTACTCGTACAAATAAATATTTATTAGATTTACGTCTGCCTAAATGGATTACTCAGAAACAATATGAGCAATTATGTGTCAAAGCAGATGAAGCTGAATTAGCTCATCTCTATTATTTACCTAAAGCTCATAAGTCTGGTACTCCACTTCGACCCATTATTTCTGGATTAAAACATCCATCCATAAAGATCTCCAAGTTTCTTGATAATCTATTAAGACCATTATTTGATCAAATGGCCTTGAAGACAACAGTAACGTCTGGCTTTGAATTATATCAAAAACTTCAACAGTGGTCTCCAAATAGTATGAAACAAGAAACTGTCTTATGTACAATCGACGTAGCTGATCTTTATACAATGATTCCACAAGTCGAAGGAGTCTTATCGTTAAAAAAAGATGTTAGACCACGTAAATCTTAAACAAATCGATGGCTTAAAAACTGAAGTTATTATTCGATTAGCTCGATTTGTTATGACCAATAATTATTTTAAATACAATGGCCAATATTATCATCAGATTAAAGGTGGAGCAATGGGTTCTCCATTGACTCTTACCATTGCCAACTGTTATATGTTCTTTTTTGAACAATATATATTAAAACAAATTACAAACAGTTTCGGCTTATACGTTCGTTTTATCGATGATATTTTTATCATTATTAATTGGCCAACTCGTCGTTTTCTTAAACAAGTTGATCGTTGGAATGAATTTGATTCCAATATTAAATTAGCAACAAACATTGGTTTACATGCTAATTTCTTGGATTTACACATACAAAATCAAGATTGTGCATTATTTACTTCAGTTTACCATAAACCATCTTATGAACCATATTATTTGTCATTTAATAGCATTCATCCGTTGCATATGAAAAAGAATATGCCTTTTGGTATGTTACTTCGAGCAGTAAGATATTGTTCAACATTTAAAGCATATCAACAAGAACGAGATCATTTAAAAATGGCATTACTTATGAATAGATATCCAAGTCAATTTATCGATCAACAGTTTAATCGTGTCTTCTATAAATATAAAATTGAACAATTAATTAATATAACTAATTATAATAATATTCGTCAACGAATTATTAATAGTTCAATACAAGTCAATTTCCAAATATCATGCTTTTATACACTCACTATTGCAGTTGTTGAATATCCTACGCGCACATTTTTAATTAGCTCTCGTATATAGTATGTTCTTTTCTGTAATCACTTGTTATTCATATCATTTGTACTACTGAAGAAGGAGTCGGTTTAGACTTCGAAACGTTTAGCAGTTGTAAATACATTTATAAAATAAAATAAAATTCTACGAGGAAAACGAAATTAAATTTAAATGTGATTTCCTTATC